AAATTCATGGCTCGCTCTTGTATTTGTAGTCATCCTACTTAAGGTTTGTTTTGTTTAACATGAGACCGATCTTGTATTGCTCTTGCCCAGTTCCAGAGGAGCTTGTGCAGTTGTACTTGGTGTGTAAACACACACGTACTAGACCTTTCCAAAGCAGCGGTAAATTCTTAAATGAAGAATGTTCTTCTTGTGAATCATTTGCCATTCTGCTTGAGTAGTCTGCTCTCTGCAAAGCTGGTGTACTGAGAGCTATCCCCTAGCTGAGACTTCTCTCCTCCAAGAATAGCTCAAAAGTGCAAAGCCTGTTACATATGGGACAAAAATATGCTTCCAGTGCAGATGTCTGAGACGAAAACTGATTAATGCAGTCACATATGACTACAAATGTTGGATGGTTCAGTCAAAATTAGAAAACAATTGCAACGTTTAGCAAATGCTATTTGTACTGTAAGCTTTGACTTATTATATGCCTACATAGCATGCCCTGAAAAAGAAACAACGTTGTTTCAGCAGAGCAGGTATACAAAATACCATGTTACAATTTACTTTTTTGAATGACAAATACAAACTAAATTTGCTTAGTTAAATAAAGGAAGCTTTTTCTTCTCTAGATTAGGATTTCAGATAGCCTGTGTATCTGTTGGTGGTATTGACGTATCACTTGTTCTGTTTCAGGAGTAGCTGTTCTCGGTGCTGGCAGCAAAGCACAGCAATAGTAGTCTTCATTTATACAGCAAGTTAGGATTATTTTGAGATACTTAATCACAGCAGGATTTGATGGTGTATATAATCAAGTGCATACTGATTACAAACTTAATGCAGTGTTGAGGAAGACATGCAGTTTACTGGCAATCGTGTATCATAAGGCACAACTCCAAACCTAATCCAGGGCAAAGAGGAGCTCTAGCTATTCTTGATTTTTAGTGAACTGTAAATTCTGAATGTGTCTGACACTCCAATAGGTGTGTTTCACATTAAAAAGTGATTGCAAGTCATTAATGGAGGGTTTTAGGAGCTTTTCTATGTGGCTGCCCATATACACCTTCTTGTGTGGATGCATTTGGAAGAGCCTGACCTCAGACCTTTTGTGCAGTGCAAGTGTGCCAGCTGGCTCGTGTATTTGGCATGCTCTGTTCTTTGCTGCCTTGATAAAAAGCACATCTCATTTCATGCCAGTCATCTCTTGGCTATAGATGAAGATGCTTCTTGTTTTCTTTAGGCTGTAGTAAAACCTTTTTTCTAATGTGTAGCAGCCCCGCTTTCCCATGTTTTTCTCCTGATTGTGGTTGACTGACTCTATGAGCTTTTTCCTTTTTGAGTCTATTGGCAGGTTCTTTAGTTGAAACTTCCTTTCCATCGTTATGTTCATCCAGAAAGGTATGGGCAGAGTGCCCTTGATTTAAAATTTGTTAATGGTGTGATGGGGCTGTGCTAGATACAACAGATCATCAGAAGGGTGCCTCTGGTACCAGCTCTAAAATACTTTTCAGGACTGAAAGTTCACATCTAAGCATCATCATTTGTAGAGATGAGGACTTCAGGTTGCAGACGTGTGCAGAGCCTAACTGGCTCTGAAGCTGGGATCCACCTGCAGTGTCTCTAGGGACCTAGAGAAGGGGGATGCAGGTTCCTAGCTAAGCTGTATACCTTTCTTTTCTATCACAAGTAACCCTTTTCAGGGAGGCTGTGAAGGGGCTTCTGTGACCAGAAGTAGCTTTGAAACGAAATTATTCTAGAAATACTACTTCAGAAGCTGTTCTTGTTTGTGCTGTCATTGTGTTGGAGCTTTTCTTAGTGCTGTTTCTGGGGAAGGTTCTGTTTAGAATGGTGTGGAGAGCATAGCACCAAAAGAAATGCAAGGAACCAAATCTTTGTAGTATTCCTCTTCATTACATAGTGGGTTCAGCTTTTTGTGTTAGCTTTTTTTTCTGTGTGTTTGTGAGAGAGAATAATTACTATCTCAGAAATGGACTGATGATGGAGGAGACAACTGAAGAAAGGGATGGTTTAGTACTGTTATTGTGTGCCATGGTCCAGCTGCAAGCCTGTTCAAAATGTCATCAAAGGCCTTCTCCAGAACTCTGAACCAGCTTTCTGGTTTTTCTGTCTTATTTGGTACTAAGTTATGTGCTTCTTATCTTGTTATTTTGTAATGAAATTGAAAGTTGTAGGTATTGACCTGTGTGATTTAAAACTCAAGGGTTAGAGGTCTGAATTTTGTTATTTTGAGAGGGTTTGGAAACTGGTGGCACCAGTTCTTGTCATAAAACCTGAGATTTGTTGATGTCTTCAGTTATGCTTTTATAGTACCTTCAGTTTTTTTAGATCTATGGTAAGGGAATAACCAAAATTTCTTTTTCCCTAGAGTAATACTGTTTGAAATTAACTCATGGTCAGTATCATGGTATTTCCAGGTACCTTAGCTTGATTGTTTTTAGCAACTGTAAAATGATCTTTATGAAAAATGCTGTAATGTTTAGTAAAATATTACTGCCTCTGAGATGGCAGTGGTGACTGTAGAATACAGATAATAGAGGGTAGTAAATCCAAGAGACAGATTTTTACCACTAAATCTACAGTTAATATGATGCAGAAATTGGAGTTCGTGTTTCCAGATAATTTGTTCCCTAAAGCAAGACATGAACCTGGAATTATCTTCCTAAATTACTAGTAAGACTGAAGTGTAAGCGTAAAAAGGGAGAAAAAAGATTGAGTAGTCATGAGAAACAAAGGTACTGTCATTTCCATCAAGAACATCTGCAGTAACCAAACTACCTGATTTGCATTGTTTGTAGCTGTTGCTTTCACTGGATAGTTGTTTCCAAGTATATTGTTCATAGTAGTTTTCCAAATGACCTTTCTCGTGTATTTTCTTGGACTGTAGAAGCCAAAACCACTGCAGAGTTCTGAATTCAGAAGAAGTTGGAATTGTTTAAAACAGTACAGTTTGGTATTCTCCATCACCTTGAGATCAGAGAATTTAATTTCACTGTTGTTTATTTCACCCACAATCCCACATCTGTCTTCTGCCAGCCGCCCTGATGATGGGTCTAGTAATTTGGCTTCTGTATCCTGAGATGGAGAAGGGAGTGAATCACTTGTAACGCTGGATAGAGCTACTACTGGTGTTCCAGAGCAGGGACATGTGGATCTGAGGTGGTGGCACCATTCTTTTGGTGATAGCATGGTCTTTGTCCAGCTGTGAAACCGTGCTCCAAGTTCACAGTAGTGGAAAAAAATCATACATAGCGTAGTGGTGTGGAAAAGGTCTACATTTGCACCATTCACTTGCAGTCTAGCAAAGCTGGTTGGTCTTAAAGGAATTTGAGCTTACTAACAGCTAGATAAGAATAACTTTGAGGGAATACTTTTAAGCTACAAGGAAGTAACACTTACCCTGTTGCACATACATGCTGCAAGTCTGCTGCCTGAAGCGGATGCTTACTTTTGCATTTAAGCTCATTTTAGAGAAGAGAATCTTCAAAGATTTTCTGAGGTTGTTAAAGGTTTCTTTTAGTAAATAGATGTCTGAGGCCAGACAACAGCTTAATGCATTTATTTGGTTTTTTCCATTTATTTGTGACTTTTTTTAGAGTCCTTTATTGCTTCATAGTTATTTGAGGTCTAGTAACACTTTATTGTATTTGATGAGATTTTGCTGCCAGAAACAGTTTCTTACGAGATTTGCCCAGAGTTTTCTAGAATGCTTATACCTTTTATTACACTTTGATATGTTTCCCCTGGCTGTGTATGACTTGGGTGTGACACCTTCTCTGCTCTCTTTGAAACAAATGTTTGGCATTTCTTGCCTGTTGTGGTGAATTAGGTTAAATTAAGTAGTAACCTTCAAATTGTATACTTTGATCTTTCAGAACAAGATTTTTTTCCCTTCCTCTCCTCTCCTAAAGTGTATCTTTAAAGTGCTTTGGATATGTGCTTTGTCAAATCCTGCTTTTTTAAATTTCACTCTTCACAATACTTCTGTCTTGCAACTTTTTTTTTTTTAATGTAGGATCATCTTTTAACCATTGAAGTTTTAGGGTTTTACCCTCTATAGGTTTCACCTGGTTGGCGAGTGTAGCTATTATCCTGCTATGCTTACAGTAAGATCTTATTTAAGTCCCTTCTGTGTTTTGGGTACATATATGCGTAAGTCATACTGCTTGCTTTCTTTAGCGTTCTTGTTTCCTTAAGAGGCTGGTTGCTTGCTGCCTATGGCAGGCATGTTTAGAATATAACTACAAAGCAGATTGAGCATTTCATAAAATGCTTAGAATACTACCTGGCAGTTGTAAGTCGTGGACCTGGTATTGGAATAGTTCATAGTCATGAAGAGCACTGATGCTAACATCTGTATGTATTACAGATGTTAGACTTGTATAGTGAGTTCAAAACTCTTGTGTGAATTTTGAGTCTTCAACCTTGGGATGAGCAACAACATTGTTGATAAGGTCTGATTTCAGAAAGTATTAGCCTTAAATCTGTCAGTATATACCAGACATTTTTATGTAAAAAGAGGCAGCCCATATTGTAGGCAACAGCACCTTTTCAAGGAGAAAAAAAAGTTAATCTTTAATCGTACACATCAGCCTGTCAGAAAACCACAGAATCCTCTTCTATATTGTTATGGTAAGTTCATGCAGAGTCTTTTCCAAAGCACCTCTCTTCAGTTGGCTCAGTTTGGCCACTTAAAAACTAGTAACATAAATCAGTAAAATTTCCAAAATCCAACTTAAAATCAATTCTAACCAAATGTACTTACTTTTTTCTGTAAGCTGCCAAAGATTACACCTGTTCCCCTGCCATATCACCAGTTAAAATGGGTGATCAAAGGAAGCTTGTGAAAAGTGAAGTAGACTATGTGAGGATACATCCAATTTTTTCCAAATCAAGTAATTAATAAAGTTTCTCTAATTTTGTTCAAGTCTGTTTTTCAATGTCTTGATTTATAAACATGATAGTAAAGCAGAACTTGTGGTGGTTTTTCTTTTTATACGCAGGTTTCTACAATCCAAGAACTTGTTACAGGTTATGAAACCTCTTTGAAAACTTGTGATCTTTTTAGTACATGTGGTAAGTTTCTGTGGTCTTCTATTAATTACCCTGTAATCACTAATACTGTTTATGGCAGTTATCAAGAACTGTTGGAGTGCTAATACTTTGCAAAAAAGTAGTTGTAATAGCTTCTAGTGAGTGAATTCACTTCAGGACCTACTTGCTGGATTTGCCAAGCTTTGTATTTTGTGTTTGTTCTTCAGATGCAGCCTTCAACCTTACTGGTTACTGTGACTTTTTCAATTTTGTTACAGAAAATGGAGAGAAAGAGCCCCCAACGACACTGCTTTGGGTTCGGTATTTCCTGGCACAACACTTTGACAAACTTGGACAGTGTTCTCTGGCCTTGGATTACATTAATACTGCAATTGCCAGCACTCCAACATTGATAGAACTCTTCTATTTAAAAGCAAAAATTTACAAGGTAAAAAACTAATTCGGCTATGTGGAGTACTTAGTTTATATGTTAGAAAAACAAGCCCATATCAAACTTGTGTGGCTGTGTCTAGTATTTCAGTTAGCAGTGGTTATGGGCATAGGTTTCCATGCAGGTTTCTCTTTGGGCATTGTTCTGTCAGGAAAACAGTGAAAACCCTTTTGTTTAGGTTTTGCAAAGCGAGTCAGAACCTACAGCAAATTGTCACACTGCCTTTTGTTATTTCTCAGAGACAAATACCAATAGCTATAGATTTCAGGATTTGGTCAATAGCAGGCTTGTACTGAGAGTTAACTATTTAATTTCTCCTTAACAGCATGTAGGTAACCTCAAGGAAGCTGCGAAATGGATGGATGAAGCACAGTCTTTGGATACTGCAGACAGATTTATCAATTCTAAGTGTGCTAAATATATGTTGAGAGCAAATATGGTCAAGGATGCAGAGGAGATGTGCTCTAAATTCACAAGGGTAAGCACATTGCTTTAGCACAGAGAGGTTTTATTTGCACCTGACAGTTTTTTACTCATGTAACTTCTGACCAAAAAACCCACCCCAAACTATCTTCTATTAGTGTTCATTTTTAAGATAATGCTCTTACTGGTAAATAACTGTATAGAATCATAGAATTGTTTGGGTTGAAAGACACCTTTTAAGGATTATCTACTTCAACTCCCCTGCCATGTGCGGGGACACCTTTCAAAAATCAGGTTGCTCAAAGCCTCATCCAGCCTGACTTCGAACACTTTCAGGGTTAGGGCATCCGTAGCTTCTCTGGGCAGGCTGTGCCAGTGTCCCATCATCCTCAAAGAAAAGAATTTCTTCCTTGCATACAATATAAGCCTATCCTCTTTCAATTTAAAACTGTTACACATTGTCCTGTCACTAGGGGCTCTGGTGGAAAGTCTTAGTCTTCCTTAGAAGTCCCCTTCACATATTGAAAGACTGGACTAAGGTCTCCCTGGAGCTTCTATTCTCCAGGCTAAAAAACTCAACTCTCTCAGTCTTTCTTTGCAGGGGAGGTGTTTCAAGCCTCTGGTTTTTCACGGCTGGGGACCAAGGTTTCCATATCATTTATGTAACTAACTATGAAGAAGCTACTTGGTGGGATTTCCTAGAGCACATAAATGAATTAGGCTTGTTAATTTTAGGTGTGAAAATACTTGAAATTGAATCCAATCTTTCTAGATATTTCTAGGAATGATTGAAAACTCGGCCACTAGTACTCATTGTGTACATTGTGGAAATGTTAGAGCAGCAGATACAGAACTCTAGAGCATAGATACGTGGTAACATAGGATAGATCTTACGTAAATAAATAAATGTGAGTTGAACAGGGTTTTCTTTCTAATATAAAGACTGATGTGAAAACTTGATGGCTAGCATTCATGATGTGTGGAACATGCTTTCAGTTTGTTCTTAATCTAGAGCATTGAAACTATAAAGAATAAATCCTAGGATTTTTTTTCTTGGAAAAAGTATGAAGTAAAAATATAACTTCATTTATTTAGATTGTGAACTTCTAAAACTAAGTTGTTCATACTACATGATAACGCAATAAGTATATTGGTGGACTGGTAAACTAGCAGATGCCACTTGCCTGTTTGGGGGGAGAAAACTCAACAAAACTTATTTGCTGAACTTTTAAGTTTTTTAAAAATAGTATTGTTTTCTGCCCCCAAACTATGAAAGTGAGATTGTGTATCCAAGCATGAGTTAAATGTTGAGACAGTAATCTTGTTGAGATAATACTTCTCACTTTTTAAAATCATTTAAATTTATACCTTTATCTTGGGAGGCATAGTGTATCACAAGAATTATTCTCAATTGCTGGGTGGTTTTATCCATTTTCTGTTGTATTCCAAACAATGGAAGGATTGATTGTTTCCTACTAATGGCCTTGAAATAACCGTAGGTGAAAGAAGCAACTGGTAAATTATAATAGCAAAAAATGATAATGACCCTTATTTCAGGAAGGAACTTCTGCTATGGAGAACCTAAACGAGATGCAGTGTATGTGGTTCCAGACTGAATGTGCTGCAGCTTATCAAAGGTTAGGGAAGTACGGTGATGCCTTGAAAAAATGCCATGAAGTAGAAAGGGTAAGTAGGTGCAAACACCATCAATTTCTTTCCTAGTATTTCTTGTACACTAATAAAGGTATATGTTGATGTCATCAGCATGATTTTGTTTGCATGTAAAGTGTCCGTATAGTGGTTTTTAAAAACAGGTTAATATTTGATGATTTATTGCAGTAGATGTCATCCCTAGCTATTACATAGAAAAACAATTACTTGAAGTGAGAAATATAAACTATCATGTTGTGGTTTAAGCCCAGTCAGCAACTAAGCACCACACAGCTGCTTGCTCACCACCCCACTGATGGGATGGGGAGGAGAACTGGAAAAAAGCTAAAACCTGTGGGTTGAGATAAGAACAGTTAATAATTGAATTACAGTAATAATAATAGGAAATATATATATACAGAGAGAGAAATAAAACAAACCCAAGTGCTGCATAGTACAATCTCTCACCACCCGCTGACCAATACCCAGCCCGACCTGAGGAGCAGTCGGCCCCTTGCGGTAACTCCCCCCAGCTTACATACTAGGCATGACATGCTGTGGTATGGAATACCCCTTTGGCTAGTTTGGGTCAGGTGTCCTGTCTCTGCTCCCTCACAGCTTTTTGTGCCCCTCCTCACTGGCAGAGCATGAGAGACTGAAAAGTCCTTGATCAGGGTAAGTGCTGCTTAGCAACAACTAAAACATGGGTGTTTTATGAGCTTTGTTCTCAGAAGTCTGAAAAATCACATTATAGTTTTTGTTAACAAAATGAGATTTTTCTGGGTGGGTTTTCTTTCCCACTGAGAGGTTCTCTTGGACAGTCAGTATTATAAGGATATTGCTATGCCTGTGCAATATTGTCTGTAAATAATATCAGCTGTAACTGATGTATTCACCTCCATCTAATTAAAAATCAGACTAAGTGGAGGAAGTGCCTAAGAGTTTTGTGTTGTTTTTTTTTTTTGAAGCATTTTTTTGAGATAACGGATGATCAATTTGACTTCCACACATACTGCATGAGAAAGATGACTCTTCGTGCCTATGTAGACCTTCTGAGATTAGAAGATGTGCTCAGGAAACATGCATTCTACTTCAGGGCTGCTCGATCAGCAATTGAAATTTACTTGAAGCTCCATGATAATCCTCTTACCAATGAAAGCAAAGAACAAGAAGTGAATTCAGGTATCCACAATGGAGGTTCATGTGTGTATGACATGTGTAAAAGCTTATTAAGCTGAGTAATTTGTGTGCTAGAGAATAAATATGAGTTGTAACATACACAACTTTTTCCTGTTTTGTGTCACAATTTGATAACTGAGATCATAGATAAGATGCTACAACTTTCTTCTATTCTCCTCTCATCATATTAAAAAACTAGTGTGTGAATGAACCCAGCAGGAGTACCTTGGGAGGAGTGGCATTTCAGAATATTGAGAAGAAAAATCGAATTTAGCTCTGCCATTCATTCATTTAAACAAAAGATAAATGTCATTATCAGATGAATTATGAAGCAATGGGTGGATTTTCTGGGAAAGCAGTCTGAATTGTAATAATTTCATTTTGATTTAGTGTATTTAACTTACTACATTGTATAATTTTTCATGTAACTTCAGGATCAAAGAATACATGGGTAAGTGTGTATTAGCAAAATCAGTACATTTAGGAAACAATTTAAAGCAAGTGTTAAATGGAAAGCAGACTTCCTGAGGCAACCAGTGAGGTGTGGCTCACATGCAGTATGTCACAGAAACTAAGATGGGGAAGAGTAAGAAGTCACATCATGTTAGTTCATTTGCCTGCTGTGTGTTAGGATTCAGTAGGATCATGCACAGGGCAAAACAGCACTGTGTGAATGGGGTAGAATGAATGCTTGCTTCCCTGCCTCAGAATGGTGGCTAGTCCAGAAGAGATAGCGGTGTCACAGCCACAAAAAATGTGTTAGCCCCCCAACAGCCTATTCTTCTGTTCCTCACTATGATACTAATGCAGCTCCTGTTCTCAGACACCACAGTAAGCAGAGTGGAAACTACAGTATGATACTTGATAAACTGGTTAGGTCAGTGGGACAGCAAGGAAGGAGAAGAGGGGTGAATGGAAAGCCTGAAGGCTCCTCACTTCTATGTGAACCTGCAGGAAAACATGTTTCGTGTGTTCTGCTTTTCATGCAGCTGTCAAACCTGCTTGGTTTATCTAAATGTTAGTCCAGTCAAAATCTGAATACAGCAAGCAACCTAAATATTCGTATAATGATCCTGCTAATAGATGCCAGAATATTTTACCTCTTCTCACCCCAAATAATACCAGTTTTTGCTTGCATCCATCCATCCTTACGGCATTTGCAGGAAAGATTTTTAATTAAATTCTTTGTGTTTGTCACCTTGTTGATCTGTAGAAAATCTCTCAGCCAAAGAATTGAAAAAAATGCTTAGTAAGCAAAGAAGAGCACAGAAGAAAGCAAAACTGGAAGAGGAAAGAAAACATGCAGAAAGAGAGCGACAACAAAAGAATCAAAAGAAAAAGCGAGATGAAGAGGAGGAGGAAACTAGTGGGCCCAGGGAAGAGCTGATTCCTGAAAAACTGGAAAGGGTTAGCATGGTCTTTCATGTTAAATTCATGTGATTATCATAAAAAGCCTATAATATGGGATTACTGTCAGGTTCTCTTAAAAGAATCTGGTGGTTTTTATGAAATCTTTTTTGCACAGGAAGGTGTGTAGTCTGTTTACGCTAAAGGAAAGTAACATTTTTCCTCTAATAAACCAAAGTTCTATATTAAAATACTGTTACTTTAAATTTTGGTTTTTGTTTTTTAACATTATGCATCCTTCATTAAAATAGATACTGAGCAAAAACATGGTTCTTGCCTCAAGAATTCTGGGTTTCATACATTGAATAGAAGAACTAACAGAAATATGTTTGCAGTTCACCAAATTTGAAGACATGAGCCATTATATCTCTAAGCACAAAGGATTGTCTCCTTTGTCACACAAACTTCAGAAGTTTAAGCTTGCTGTCTAAGGTGGTTATATTTCATTGTTTGCTAATGCTAAATTACAACAACAAGTGCATTACATAAGCTATGCCAGAGTTAGTAATGATGTTGACTTTGTCAGCATGAAGTGATGAATAAACACTCCTAATCTTGCTGGTCAAATAAAATGTTCTGATTCAGTTTAATTCGGAAAACTCTCTACAGTTCACCTTTGGCCTCTGAGTATTTAAATGCTCTGAATAGCAGAAACTATCTTTGGTAGTTTTTATTTGATTCATATTTTAAGCTTTAAATTTCACTGTGTTTTTATTAAAACAGGTAGAAAATCCATTAGAAGAAGCCATTAAATTCCTTATACCACTTAAGAATCTTATTGGAGATGAGATAGAAACACATTTATTAGCGTTTGAAATATACTTTAGAAAAGGTAAAGTACTGCATAATTTTATTTTTGCTCTACAGAATTGTAACCCTTCACTGCTGCCTGGGTTACCTGAGTGTACCCTAAAGTGGTCTGGAATAGGTATTTACTTGACTGAAACTGGGGTTGTCATTATATGTAATAATAGTAAGGGGGAAATACAATTTTTGTTTAGCCACCCTTAAAACAAGCTAAAAACCCTAAGACAAAGTTGTAGTATATACTAATAAACCCTGTAGAAAGATATTTGCAGTGTGATCTTAAACTATCTAGGGAAAAACGAAGCCAAACAGATAGTAATGTTATGTAGTGTTGTCAGAGTTTGAGTAGCAGGCATTTCCATTTTACTAAGCAACTTGGAGGGGAAAAATAAATGTCCTTTCTAATTCTGTGATGTTTCTAATGTTTGTACTAGATTTACTAAAGTAAAATAGTAGTTGATATAAAAAGTTCCGTATTCTTAATCTTGGTATGTTTTTGTGTTTTCTCCTTTCCACAGGAAAGTTTCTGTTAATGTTACAGTCTGTCAAAAGAGCTTTTGCTATCGACAGTAATAACCCATGGCTACATGAGTGCTTGATTAAATTCTCTAAAGCTGGTATGTATGTAGGAAGTATGCATGTATAAAGATACAGGAGGTTATACTGTACAAGGATATAATCACATAGTTTTTGTAGTGTATAAATGCTCTTGAAACAAACTGATGATGAAAAATAAATGTGTTTTTTTTTTTATGCTAAAAGTTAAGAAAGCACAGGCTGTGTTACACAGGGTACTGTGTTTGTATTATACTCCTTCCTCCATTAATCGAGTAGACTAAATAACTCATTATGGCTACATTTCACAGAGTAGGTGTTCCAAAGATCACTGAAATTCTTAAGTTTTAAGGAAATAAGTGGCAGATATGGGGGAGAGATTCTGACAGAAGCAAAGTACGTGTTGTGAGCTTGTGCCCTGTCATGTTAACTTTCTGCTGCCCTTTATGAATGTTTTATCTATAAATGCATCACTGATGCTTGTGTTGACCTGTTTTGAACTGAAATTTGTGTTTATGTGCCCAAATTTTAAAAATGGGAATTTTACTAGTGACGTTTATGGTTTCACACTACATTCTACAGCTGTTTAAATGGCTTTTTTGTTTCTCTCCCTCTTTCTTCCCCCTTCTAGTATCTGACCATAGTAACCTCCCAGAAATTGTGAGCAAGGTCCTAACTCAAGAAATGCAGAAAATCTTTGTTAATAAAAACTTGGAAAGTTTTAATGAAGAATTTCTCAAACACAATGCTACCTCCATTCAGCACCAGCTGTCAGGTTTGTTTAACTTTTTAATGCTCTTGAAAAGGAGATGACTTAAATCCAGAATCTTAATCTGCAGTGCATAACTTACACATAAAACCAGTAAGGCAGAAATTAACATATTTACATTGTGGGTTTTTGCTTGCTTTTACAATGTTAAAAAGAATCAAAACCCAGCTCATTCACTTTTTTTATTAGATACATAAGGAACCTGTTTCTTACCTCCAAAAAAATGTGATCAAACCACCACAGATACTCAAATATGGAAGCAACATCATCGCTCCTGTTGCAGCTTCTAGTTTGAAATTATTAAGAAATACCAGAAAATCCAATACATTAGAAGCAGTGCTTTTCCCTGTTACCAGCTGGAATGTCTCTGTTCCTTCTCACAGGTTTGTCAAGTAGCAACAGCATCAATAAAAATTATATGACAAACTTGTTACACTGCTTCTGTTTTTCTTCTTCATGGTCAACAATTAAGGTGTTGAAACGTGGCACTCTTAGGCTATTTGTGCAGAAGAGCTGTACGTAGCTGCTAGTAGGGTACAAATGAGTGTCCTCTTAGCTTAAAATGTTTACCAGTAAAAAAATTGCAAGCAGAATTTTAATTGCTTTTGAGTTTCCATACCATAGCTTGCCAGACTTTAAGCAAAATGTGTCAAACTTAACCTAGATAATGACAACTCAAACCCACACAGACTCAGTCTAACAATTTTCTGAAACCTTCTGGACACAAAAAGCAATAAGAACTAGGAAGCTTTACTTAGGAAAACATATTTAATAATTGAGGAAATCAGTTGAGCAGGAAGAGACAGTATACTCAGAATGAGGGTTTTTCACTTTTTCAGTAAAATTATTTCTTAAGCCTTTTGTTCCTTGTAGTAGATTACATAGTGGGGTGTGTCTGGACGTTGTATTTGTGACAAGTACATGAAATGCCTATGTATTCATTAAGATGACAAACTAAGGCAGCTATGAGAAAAAGAGCAACACAGTTTCTGCAGAGATGCCAGGCCAGTTTCAATAAACTCTTTGTGGTCTAAGAAGCTGTATAGTTAGGTTAATGCAATGTCTTTCTTCTCACCAACATAGTCTAGTCCAAGCAAAGAACCAGACTTTTGTTACACTTTCTTTGTATCTAAGCTGTTTTACTTGGCTCCAGGTTAGTAGCCCAGCTTGGTCTTACTGTCTGCCATACGGACATATACTGCTCTGAATTTCTTCTGGACTGTGTTCCACAATTGTTTAGTAACTCCATTGTTCACTTACTCTGAATTATTTTAAACAGTATTGGAGGTATCTCTGAGAATGTGTCTTTTACTCCTGCATTTGTAGGATGGGTTTTATTTAGCCTGCCGATTTAAGGGCTGGCATTAATGTACTCTTCATGTCTGTTTCTTGACTGACAGATCCTCAGTAAAGTGAGGCATTTCACTTCTGCAGAAGCAGATCTCCTGTGTTAGTTGATACTTAGCTTCTAATAAATTTCAAAGTAGCTTTAGCTTTGTTAGTTTTAAAGGAGGGAATAAGGGAGGAAAAGAACGTTTAATAAAGCTTGCAAGAAGTCCTTACACTGGATTCTGTGTGTCTGCCTATTCAGTGCTCTTTTAGGACTGCTGTTAGGTAACTGTTGTGTTCTTTCTCGTGATCAGGTGCAAAGATGATGTATTTCCTGGACAAATCAAGACAAGAAAAAGCAATTGCTGTTGCTACTAGGTTGGATAAAAACATGAGAGACAAAAATGTGAAGGTAAAAAATACATCATTTAAAGCCAAAAAATCTGTAGGTTCTTCAATAATGTATGCTTAATTGTGGGATAATGTACATGCTTCATATGATAAATTATTAATATTTAAAATAATGAGATTTCAGATTTTGTCCCCTAACCATAACTATAAAATACCTGAATATCAACAGAGAACGTGCTTGCTCAGATTAGTGTTGTTTAATAATACATCTTTTTAGTAATAATACATCTTTTTAGTAATAATACAATTGTAAATCACATTTATTAACTATTACTTTTGTTTCTTCAGACATTAACAAAGGTTTTTGAGGCACTGCTTGATGGCAGTTTTGGAAGCTGCCACACTCAATGTGAAGAATATCAAGCAGCATGTCATAAACTGTTTCCTTATACGTCTGCCTTTATGCCTGCCACAAATGAGGACGATAGCAGCATTGCATCTGTGAATCATACAGCCATTAACCATGATTTGCTTTCTAATGAAATTTGAAGTAGTGTGTGCAAGCCAGTGTGTGTGTGTGTATACCTACATGCACACATGTATACAGAACTCTTGACTCTCATTACATGCTGGCTGGATACAGATCAGGGTTACTTTTCCAGGTTGTATTTTAAAACTTTAACAGGTATAAAACAAAGTATTTGGATAGTTAAATGAAATGGATTATGCTATTAGTTTTTTTTTCTCCCAACAAAAACTGCCAATATTTATGTAAACATTATCCTTAATCAGCATTTTTCATGTTTATACTTGTACAGTTTTAAGTCTTTTAATAATCCATCAGCCTTCCCTCACAAAAATATGGATGTTAAAGACTGCTTTCACGTAAGTGTTGTTACATATACAGACAAATGTGATCATATCTTGTTAATAAATTATCATTTGAGCATTTTTAGCAGATTAAGACTGAAGTGCTGCTTGAATTGCCCTCTTTGTCTTTTACTGTTCTTCAAGGGTTTTTTCTGTTGCGGTCCCGTATCCCCCCACCCCTTTTTTTTTCCTTTTTAATCTTTGGTCATTTTGGTTTCTTTGGAAGCCCAGTGACAATGAGAGCATTGAGGGTTTGCATGTTTTTGTCAGGTGTGTGTCTTATATGGAACCAGTGTTGATGCATATGAAGATTGTGTAAAAAAAAAAAAAAACCAACAAAAAACAAACAAAAACCCCCCAAAAATTAAGAACCCCAAAACCCCCCCAAAAACCAACCCGAACAACAAAACCTCCAAACTAAGACATTTTAAAAACTATTCTGTCTACCTTGTGTTCCACAGCTATTGTTTTCTTAAGTTTCTGGTCAGTTTAATATTTTTGAGTATCCTTAACCAATTTCCTGAGAAAACATAATTTGCTACTGTTGTTTGTCCTTTGTTCCACCTTCCCCTTCCTCCTCTTCCTTCTGGTTTCTCCCATCTGTCCACCTATTGATACTTAAGTTGAAAAAGCTGCTCCAGTTTTGGGCAAACACTGAAGGTACAGTAATGGGGAATACAGTTCTTCCTTACATCATAAAAATTCACTGGTAAGTTTACTGTATTACCTCCATTAAAAGTCTTAGTTGTCCACTTACGGCTAATACTCCAGTACTTGTCATGCCTATATGCTATTGGTTTAGGTGCTGTGAAGCAAATAGTACATGAGGAGTATGTTTTACATTTAAAAACCATTTAAGGGAGCACAAAGAGGCTGACTACAAATCATAACAAACGTTTTTCTTACTTCGTATTCTGGTGCATTAACTATTAAGTATACAACACATCAAAATGGAAGCCTGACTCTTAATATACCTATTTAAGGCATAGTATTGCTGGACAAAATGGCTAAGTACCACAGCTTTACATTCTATAAAAACTGTTATCAAACGTAACTATACTGTGGCTTGTACAGAAAATCGGTTTTCTGGAAACTGTAATGGAATCATTCAATCTTGGTTTCTTTTTATTTCACTGCAATGTAAATAGTTTCAGTAATATTAACTAGCCCCTCAAAGGCAGATATAAGTTCATGAAGAGGGGATTTTATTAAGACAAATAAACTGTTCTAATTAAAATTCTCCTTTGTGTGTCATCTGTTTAGATTAAAAATTGTTGAATGGAAAATTCACTGTAAAATATTGCCAACATATGGTATGCTGTAATAAATTATTTTGTACACACTTGCCTTTGGTTTGGAATCTTTGCATATTTGTGGGCTTCAGCCCATCACTTTCATCAGTTTTATTCTATTCGGTTGCAACATTTGCTGCTATAATGTGAACTGTAAGTAGTTAAGGTTAAAAAAAAGTCATTTAGCACATCGAGAGCTGTACCTCTGTATATAGTAACATGCTACCCTGAGAAATAGGACAAGATGGTTTTTGTCTTGTGTATTCACCATGTGCCATTTGCTGTGGAATGATTTCCTCAAAGGTATCTCAAGCAGGTAGAGGGAATTGTCCATAATGGGATCACTTTGGCTCAGCAGTGCCCGGGAAGCATTTTTATCAGCCTATGTAAAGTGAAGGCATAAAGTGGGGCTGTGGTCTTGTCTTTTATAGTGATGGCACAGTGCTAGAGATTTGGTTCAGGCCTTCAAAAGAAGATTGTAGCCTGAGAGAGGTGAGACTGAAACAGCCCTCTGGGGTCTGTTTAGCCTGACACTTTAAATCGGGCTTGAGCAAAAATACCTGGGGTATCTTTTCAGCAGTTTATTCCTTGAGGAAGTAGATGAAGTCTAGAAATTAGCACTAAGAATTGTGGCAACTCTGTTGAGAATTCTGAAAATACAAAAACTCGATTCTTCTGTCACCCAGTGTGTGATTTGGTTTTCCTTGGAACTGCAGGAGGCAACAGCTGAGTTTTCTTCAGGACTGTCATTCCAGGTGTGAACTGCTTGGCATGATAGATGCTTGGCAATCCTATAGACTGTTGCAAAGAGAGACTAGGCTAGTATGGGAAGGGTACAAAAATAATGGTAAATAACAGGCATCAGGGAAAGGTCTGTGGGGTTTTTTGTTTTGTTTTTTTTCAGTAACTTGAAATAGAAAAGGCATCAAACTTAACAGGCCTGTTACGTCATCCGAAAAAAATGTGCTGTAATACATGAATGCTAGGTGTTCATGTCACAGAATTGCATTTCAGTGTTTGAGCTTTAAAGTACATCAGCTGGTCTGGCCCTACGCTTGCTTTCATACTGCCATTTCATTCTTGTTTCCTTCATCACTTTGTTGCCTTTTTTTTCCCTTCCGCAATTTCTCATCTCAATGTAATGCACTTTGACAGTCAGTTACAGTCATTCTTACTCCCTTCTCCTGTCCATTAACTTCTTTCCTCCTATAGCAGATGTGACATCTCAGGTGGTAGCTTCTCTTTTCTTATCAGTCTGTTGGTATCAGCGCTTGGCTGCATGAGGAATTTGTCAACAATCCAGATGAGTCAGCGTGTGTGGGTGACTCTGAGGTTTAAGAGCCTCACACCTTCCTTCGCCCCAGCACAGTTGCACCCTACACCTGATCTCAGGTGCCAAATCTGAGACTGGCTATCCTCTCTCATTTGAGGCTAGTCCAAAATATTCTAGGCTAAGACTGGGATATTACTTGTTTTCAGCACCACTGTTCCATTGACCCAGAGAGGTGGAAGAAGTGGCCTGTTTATGCTACAAATCTCCAGTAACTGGCCTAGCCAGAGGAGCTGGGCTGGATGGGGCTTTGGGCAGCCTGGTCTAGTGTGAGGTGTCCCTGCCCATGGCAAGGGAGTTGGAACTAGAAGATCCCTTTAAGGTCCCTTTCAACCCAAACCATTCTGCAATCCTATAATTTAATTTTGATTGCTATAAATTATAGTAAAGAAGTTCACTTACCTGTCTTGTTTCATGCATCTTGGAAAACCTTTTGTTTTGAGCTGTTTTATTGTGGCTTTCTTTTATAAATCCTTCCCACATATCCTTGCACAAACCAAGTAATTGTGTTAATGACATAAACCTCACAAGAACTCGTTGACCAAGCATCCAGTCTCGTGTAGGGTCCTGCAGTACTACTGCCATCATGAGTGAGTACTGCCCTCCTTCCCTTCTCTTGTTGCCATAAACAAGCAGGCAGGTGTATCCCAAGGCTTACAAGCTTCTTGTCATAGGAATAAGCCTGTTCCTGAAGCCTAGGTCCCGGTGGAAAACCCTGTCCCTGATATTCATATTGATAACAAAGGTTTAGTCCAGAGTTAGTTAAGAGTGGTTGGGGCAGCTTCTCCCATCTCAGCTCTAGCATCTGCAGACTTCCCAAACAAGGCATCCCTCAGCTAGGAAGAGGTTAAGCTTTAGTTATGACACAGAAGATTCAAGCATAATAATGTTCTTATGTCTGAATGTACTTACCGCTTTACTATTTCCACAGCACTTCTATATTGACTTTGGCATATTTTCACATCTACACTGCAGATGTTAATGAACAGTTGGTAGTTCATGGATTTTCCACTAGAGGGAAGCCTTACATCCAGAATATTTTCATAGTAAGGAAAGGCTGCAGTCTTGTTTACTGTCAGGTGTTCTGTAAGTAAGGGCATATGAAAATGCCTGTCTTCTTTTTCCTTTCAGGCAGTGGAGGGGGTCTTCAGTGTGTTGTATGTGTTTAAATGCCTGAATCAGACTCCTAATTGTATAGCCGAGCTGTCTGTGGGCATTGATTTGGGAATCTGAAGTTGAGAGCGTAGTTGCTTGGGCTTTTGTCATACTAGCTGAGAATAGAGACACTGGAAAAGCACACTTGGCCCCACAGATGATCAGGTTGGCCTTTTGGGAGATCCCATGTCATGTATGTATGCATCAGTCAACCCAGTTCCTGCCTTACTCTCCTCAAGCTGCTGGAGAGGGGCAGAGTGAATTGGCCTTGAAGATTAGCCCTCACTCCAGTTAATTTGTCATGGGCTAAAGACACTGCTCACCACTCAGACTTTGCTGCTTAAATGTATTTCAAGTCTAGACAAAGTACTTAAGAACGTGATTCAGAGGAGGTTCAGGTTTTGAGAGGTTCGTAGAGGTATCTTAGGTATGCAGTGAGAAGGAAATACATGGTCTTTTCAGGACTGATTTCATATGATATATGGTCAAACTTAGAGCAAACCAGGAAGTGAGCAGGACCAGAGCAGGAGCGGTCTTCCTGTTCCCCATACAGCATGCCTACTACAGAGCAGTCCTAGTTCAAGACTTGTGGTAATAAACTGTCATAAAGCCTATCTATAAATGTGAGCCAATTATACCTGCATGAGGCCTGGCTCTGTAAATGGTATTGTAAAAGATACCCAGGGATCTACAGAAGGCATCAGGCACCAAAGGAGTCTGTTAACTGTCACTGGTGATATTGAATCAAATTTTAGCTAATCTACACACTTGATTATATTTGAAGTGAGCTCAGAGAGTATGTGAAGTTGGGGAAACTTTTACTTCTGCACATCTAAATGCCTTTCTAGGGAAATGCAAACCAGTGAACCAAAGCAGTTAGATTTGCCATGGCTGAATTTATTACTTTGGGTTCTGTAGGAAAGACCACAGTTCATCTGCTCAGGGTTAGAGTGCCAATCCAAGTGGTGAGGACTGGTGATGTACTGGTACTTAGCTCTAAGCACTTAGCTCAGGCTAACACACACATGTTTCAGCACCATGGCAGGTTACACCTCAATGTGCAGAGCTTGTTTTTTAAGTGTCCACAGTGGCAAGACCTGTGTTTTTCAGTAGTATGTTATGTTCAGTCGTGTGTGGGGGTTAACAGCTATCCTTTTGTGTAAATGATCTGATTCTAGTTTTGTATGCAAATCCTCTGCTGTAGAAGTAGAGCTTGTGAGTCAGTGCTGGGCAGTATGGAGTAGGTAATTCTGAAACCCTGTTATTTATGAACTAGAAGTTGGAAATAGAAAATGACTATATGGAAGAAGTTGCTGCCACAGATCCTCCCTCTGGCTGGGAGAATTAGAGCATGGTTTACTTGACTTTCATTTGTGAGGAAAACAGGATGCTGCTATGGATTGTCACAAAAATTATTATCCCAGGATGCTGGGGAAAAGTGGAAAAAACCCCAGGGCTTTTAATAATAATTCTTAAATTGGAATGCAGTTGTCTCAGAAGAAAGAACTGGATGCAGTACACGGTCACTGACAGTAACACGGGTTCTTTTCTTCCCATCTACACAACCCCTGTGCACTCATAACAAGAGAGGCCC